GGGGGGGGCAGTTGGGAGAGACCCTGACCCCTTGGGGTCAGCCCTTCGCCGCGGTTCGGGGGCGCCTCCCAGTCCTTCCGCTTCTCTGATCCGTGAGGGGTGGATGAGGGAACCAGGGCGGGCTCCTCAGAGGAGGGGGCACGGTCCCAAAGAGAACAGGGTTCCTGCCGCACTCAGTGGCAGGGTCTGTAATCCCAGCTACTCAGGAGGCCCAGGCGGGAGGATCGCTTGAGGCCCGGAGTTTGAAGCCAGCCTGGACCGCGTCGCAAAACCCTCATCTTTACCAAAAAATACAAAAACCAGCCGGGCATGATGGCCCCTGTATTCCCAGTTACTCAAGAGGCACAAGCAGGAGGGTGCCTTGAGGCCAAGACTTTGGGACCAGCCTGGACAACCTAGCGAAACCCCCATCTCTATGGAAATGGAAAAACTAGCTGAGTGTGTTGGTGGCTGTCGTCTCAGCTACTCGAGAGGCTGAGGCAGTTGGATCGCTTGAGCCCAGGCGCCGGAGGCTGCAGTGAGCCGTGATTGCACCACTGCGCTCCAGCCTAGACGAGAGGGAGACCTTGTCTCTCGAAAACTAACGTAATAAGCCGGGCTCGGTGGCTCAGCCTGTCATCCCGGCACTTTGGGAGGCCGAGGTGCGTGGATGGCCTGAGCCCGCGGGTTCGAGACCCGCCTGGGCAACTTGGGGAGACCTCATCTCTACAATAAATCAAAATGAGCCGGGCGTGGTAGCGCGCGCCGGTAGTTCCTGCTACTTGGAAGGCAGAGGCGGAAGGATGGCCGGAGCCCAGCGGGTCGAGGCTGCGGGGGCCGGGAGCGGCCACTGCCCTCCAGTCTGGGCGACAGAGAGAGACTCCGACTCAAGAAAAAAAAAGAAAACTAAAATAAAGCATGAATCCTGCTTGCTGTGTTTTGGGCTTTCCCTGCGGCCACAGAGAGCGTGGAGTCCCACCAGTGGTCTGCCCGGTCGTCCTTGTGGCCAGCTGCGCTCCTTTGACCTGAGTCAGAGTCTCACTCTGCCGCCCAGGCAGGAGGGCAGTGGCACGCTCACGGCCACTCCAGCGTCAGCCTGCTGGCTCAGGTGATCCTTCCACCTCAGCCTTCCAAGCAGCCGGAACCACAGGTGTGCGCCACCGCACCCAGCTAACTGTTTGATTTACTGTAGAAACGAGGTCTCGCCAAGTTGCCCGGGCTGGCCTCAAACCCGTGGACTCAGGCAGTCCTCTCGCCTTCACCTCCCAAAACAGTTGCGCTCTTTGATTATTTTTATCTATCTATCTGTCTATTTATCTATTTTTACAGCTGCACTCTTGACCCCCTGCCTGATCTCACCTGCGTGTGCACGGCCGGACACTGAGAATGGCTTTCACCTGTCCAGGTGGTCAGAGATGTCAGAGGACGAAGACTGTCCCACGCCGCGTGGAAACCGTATTTCATGCAGACTCCAGGCCGGCAGGCTGAGTGTCCCTGGTGGAGGCTGTCCCAGTCCCTCTGTGTGACCCCACGGACACGCGTTCCTGCAGCACGGCGTCCAGCCGTTAGTGGCTCGACATGACAGAGCTGAAGATGTCCTCTGCTGGCTATTCACGTGTGCGTTTATTGAGTCCAGGCTTCACCCTGTCGCTCAGGCTGGAGGGCATTGGCAAACTCGTGGCCACTGCAGCCTTGACCATGGGCTGGACTCGGGTGATCCTCCAGCCCCAGCCTCCTGAGGAGCTGGGACTACAGGCGCCACCATGCCTGGCTGGTTTTTTTATTTATCGTAGGGACAAGACCTTGCCAATAGTTGCCCAGGCTGGCCTCCAAGCCCTGGGCTCAGGCATTTCTCTCACCTCGGCCTCCTAAAGTGCTGCATGCATTTTGTTTGTTTGTTTGTGGTAGAGACAAGGTCTGGCTGTGTTGCTCAGGCTGGTCTCGAACCCCTGGGCTCCAGTGATCCTCCAGCCTTGGCCTCCCAAAGTGTTGCGATGACAGGCGTGAGCCCTCGCGCCGGCTCAAGGCTCTCCTCAGTCTCCGCTGTTCGTGCACATGACCACTTCAGTCCCAGTCACTCCTGCATGGGACTGGCATGACCAAAGGGATAACAGAAGCTGCCCCACGGCAGCCCAAACACAGAGCCAGGCCGAGAAACTCCCTCACTCCCAACCCGCCCATGGCTCCCCATTGCCTCTCCATGGAGATGACCTGCCCAGGTGCTG